ACGAACTACACCTCCATAAATGTTATATATGTATGGCCAATGACAGTCCGAAGCCAACATAAACGTGGAGGGAAAATAATAAACTACAACCACCAAAACACTAACTTAATGGTTATTCAGAGGACCTACATAACATTGTGAATGTATTTCAGTTGGCAACTGACTGCATAGTCTGAGACTGTGCCATACTCTGTTTTGAAGAAGTGACTATATATATATATGTGTGTGTGTGTGTGTGTGTGGAATAATTGGTATCATGTGAAAGCTGATTTATATGCCTTGCTTCCAATGAGATAAATATCCATTTATTTTGAAAAGAACTCAAGATATTTGCGATTGAAGGAAGTGAGGTCGCCTGGTTCCAGGGGTGAAATTAGCGAGAAAATGGCTGTCAAAGTTTGGTAACTCCTATAGCAAAAGTATCTTTGAAAACTGAAAAATGATAAATTTTTTGCCTTTAATCAATGTTTTTCTGTAAAATTCACATGGATATATGTTTTTGCATATAAAAGAGGTTAAGCTAAAAAATTAAGATTTTAAAAAAATTTTCAAACTGGAGTAAAAATTCCTGTTTCTCCAATTTTTTTTTTTTTTTAGGAGCACCTGATTTCACCACGCTGCCTCATGTATGATGGAGTCTGATACTGAGCAGTCATAAAATAAACTTTTTTGTATATATATGCATTTGTTTCGGGCAAGCCTGTTTAAAAAATCTAAAATCTCAACACCAGTACAAATTTTCTTTGAATCCCTGTATTTGAATTAATATGAAATTTTAGATGAACAATCAGGTACAATAATATGATTCTCACAATTTGTAGCCTATCTATATGCATTCGAACTTGATATCTCACTTTTTTTTAAATGGAAGATTGAAAAATTGTACTGCTCAACATTTCTCAATTTTGTAGGCAGGTGAAGTCCTGTTTACTCTACTCACCCATGGCATTAATGAGGTCATCTTTTCTTACGCCTTTAATGATGATGTTATATAATATCTTTTCTAAAATTCATGAAATAACACCATCCTCACAACAAAAGCTTTCAAAGCCAGAGTTGAGGGATAGTGTCTTTCAGGTGCCAGATGCAGCAAATCTCAGACTCAAACCAGCTCGATTCAATGTCTCTTTTGGCTTTCCTGGTGAAAGTCTGGCGCTTGTTGTGAATGGGATTGACACGTTTTATCTGCTAGACTCCCAGGATCGACGCTCTCAGAACAAATGGAAGGTAATCTAGGAAAAAAATATGAACATTAACAATTTGAGAAATTTTGTTTTCAGTGTTTGATACGTATAAAAACTTAAGTTTTAATCATCGATTTTTTGAGAAAATCGAAATATGTTGTATTATTAAAGAACCATGTGTGCTCAAGTATGGAAATCAGTGTTTTTCACACTGTCTTTTTTATTTTTCATTCTAAAAATAATCAAATGCAATGGCTACTTGCAAAGAGCTTGCAATACTTCTGTTTTAGTCTGAGTCATGAAAATTCTATATATTCTAAAGATACTCAACCACAATACAGATTACCATTTAAGGTCACTCCTACTATACTATTTGTCCCTCATAATAAATAATATAGTAGGAGTGACCTTAAATTGAGATGTTAGTCTATGGTAATGTTGTCTTGCCTTCCAATTCTAATAAAATACTGGTGGGCAAACGACTTTTCTTTCTGTGTAATACTGTTGTCACTTACCTTTTGTTAATCTCATTATTATGTTGATTTCCTGTGTTATAATACACAGATTCAATGCTATTTCTTCTTTTTAAGGGTCAATGAATGATGGGAGCCTTCTGAAACTGTTAATGGATATAATGAATAATAATGACTTCAGATAGATTAACATGGAAGACCAGGGTTTTGTTGCTCTGTAAAATTTACTCCCAGACACCCTCCTGCAAGGATGCACACACTGAAAAACAAACACACAATTTACATTGCTTAGAAACTGTTTCACAGTTACATACACTCACACTGCTGTAGAGAAAGAACTTAACCAATGTATCATCCTTGCTTAAATACTGTTTCACAATTACATACACTCACACTGCTGTACAGAAAGAACTTTACCAATGTATCACCCTTGCTTAGAAACTATCACATAGTTACATACACTCACACTGCTGTAGAGAAAGAACTTTAACAATTATATATCATCCTTGCTTAGAAACTATCACATAGTTACATACACTCACACTGCTTTACAGAAAGAACTTTACCAATGTATCATCCTTGCTTAGAAACGATTTCACAGTTACATACACTCACACTGCGGTGCAAAAAGAACTTTACCGATGTATCATCCTTCTGCGGTTCTCCAGGTTTTGCTCAGTGGTGCTCTCCCCATGTCAGGACAGGCACACCAGCTTGTGGACTGTGCTCAGTGGAAGGACGGAGAGAACGACCGGGTGGAGCTGCTGGTGGCTGCTGTGGAGGAACTGGAGGGCGAGATGAAGGAGATGCATGGCTCGCCCTTCATCACTACACTGTGTTGGCTCACTCTTCTCTCAGGTAACACTGCGCACTATGATGTCTGATTAATCTTTCTTTGTGGATTTTTTAGGTGTTTTTTTAAAAGGTATAATATTGGTACAGTAATAGAGATGTGCACTATATCTGATTAGTCTTTCTTTGTGTTTTTTAAAATTTATTTATTTTTATATTGATAACAGAGAATGGCAGTGTGACAGAAAGTAAAGCTGAAGTCCTTGCCATGTACCACTTTTGGTCTGGTGCAGAAATTGTGTTTGTACAGATCAAATTTTATTTACGCATAATGCCTTTTCTCTTCTTGTTGCATTCATTTTAGTGGCGCTCATATGACCATATGCAGCTGCGAGCGCAGTAAAACCTTACTTACTAAAACTAAAACGTACATTGTAGTTTGTGGTTTGCTTATCAAGGTCTCATTGTCTCCATTAAATTTAGTCACTACTCATTTTTGTTATCAAGTTTTTATATTCAGGTATAACCCCTTTGATTTACATCACTTTCATTAGAAGTGTAGAATTAAAGTTTTCTGGAGCAATATTATATGAGTGTTTCTTTAATTCTTTTCACTTGTTTTGATTTAGTGGATGGAAAAGCTTGGAGCATTGAAAGGACACGCCGTCTTGAATCTTCTCGACCATTTGACTATGCCTGCCTTGAACGTAATGGATCAGGGATACACATGATTTCTCCCAAAGTGTACAAAATGACAGAAGATTCTGTGAAGCCAGTGGAAAACTCTGAGCCTTGGGAAATGGTTGGAGATGAAGGTAAAGTTGTACAAGAAAGAAAGGCTAGACCCATATTATCCCAATAGTCAATGGTGATTCTGGTCTGATTTTGAAAAGTTTAAGATTGATAAGGTGTATTTTGGGGATGGTTTGAATTAAAAAACACATAAAGCACATTCATTTTGTAGTTTTTGCTCTTCTCTGGCAAAAAGGAAGCTCTGTAGCTTCCACAGTAGACCATGTTTTAATCCTTACATGCTCAGAAAGAATAATGAAATTGCTTGTAATGCATTTACAATTGGAAACTAAAAAATATTTAGCAAGTAAGATCTGGACAGTTAATGGTTTTCAATCTGTCGAGCCCACTTTTGAGAAAAATGTTGTCTTGAGTTGGGACTTCATTTTTTTCCTTTTGTTGCATTGCAATCTGTACTTCCAAGGCATTTTGTAAATCCACTACTCTGTGAGAATTGTTTCAGCTGCTTCTCTATGCTGTTGCTACAGTATGTTTTCAACACGAAAGATGTTCTGAGCTGTTAGTGATCTTATCTTGTCCTAGAATTAAATTTGTCCTTTTCCTCACTTAAACACGACAAAGACATTGTCATCAACCTCCTCCGGTATGGACTGGTCATTTTGAAAATATTCAGATACTATAATAGCACTGACAAAATCTTTCACTTAGCTTTAAGAAGATTTTTGCTCGAATAAAAATAGAAAAAAATGTATCTTTAGTACCACTTCAGTTATTACACTGTGAGCAATGACCTTTAAGGAACCTTGTCTTCTCAGACCCAGGATCGCCCTTGTACACATGGAATCAAACAGCTGGAGAGGTGACTGTGCACTTGACCATCCCTGAGGGGATCACCAAGTCCAACCTCAGCGTGTCTATCTCCGGCAGCAGGCTGGAGGTGTCTGTGAAAAATGACATCGATATGATCAAAGGAGACCTCAATGCCAGGGTGGATGTGGATTCTTCCACATGGACTCTTGATGGGCGAAGGTACACCTTGTTCTTCAATCTGTTTTGTCTGCCACTTTATAAAGATGATACGCTGTCATGGTTTACATTTCTGCATTGATGCTGTCATCAGTAGCTGGATTTTTCTAAATGAATGAAACATAATTTTTGTTTGCGCAGAGAGACTTGAAGTCTTGAGGGTGCTGTGAGTGTTGAATTTTATGAAGTGTATCAGACAGATGACACTACCCCGCGGGGCGGTGCCACTGACTGAAGTGCCCTTAGGCCATTCCCAAAGGGGGGACATTTCTCATTCAAGCACAGTAGAATTGTAAATGGGCTGATTCATCAATGTCACGCTCATAACTGTGCTTGCTCATAACTGTGCTTGATCTACAACAGGGCGCTTCTGCTTTTTCTTTCCTAATCCTTACTGTTGTCCTTTTTTCCTCTACTTCTTTTGTTCGTTTGTCACACTCTTGTGACCCTCTATTTCCGGGGTGCCTTGAAAGTCAAAACAAACTTTGTGCTGTTGAAGCTAGAGAGGTGAGCAGAGTAAGCCTGATTCCTTGTAAAGACTTCTCTGTTGACTTCCACCCCTTGGCACTCATATGACCTTATGCAGTTGCAAGTGCCGTAAAACCTCTACTAAATAAAATAAATAAGACCGATGACACTGACTGGGTAAACAGAGGGTCCACTGACCTCACCCATGCTTCATGTGATCAGAGGATGGTTCAGTTGTTGGAGGGGGCTGATGGATTATGAAGGTTTACTTGCCTCACTCTACAGCAACTGAAAGTTTGCCGTGGAACCGTCGACTTAAGTAAACAGTCAAAAGGAACATTGTCCTGGCCTACTTGTTGGCCAGCAAGTGGTTCATTTGTGGAAGGGGCAAACTGTTACAACATGTGAATGGATAATGACAGCTTGTCCACAACGTTTGGGGCTGATAATTTATGTCATCACATCAGGCAGTGAAAGGTCTGTGCGGACATCTTGGTTAAAACAAAATAATAGTTGGTTGATACAATATTATAGTAGTCACAGTAACATTCGACAGGTTGTTATCTTTAACAGTGTCAATTAATAGAAAATATGCAACGGGGTGAAGTGGAAAGTAGTCATTTATACAGGTGGTCGGCATAAGCAAGTGGTCATTAAAGTAGGTTTGACAGTATTTCTTTTTACTCTCCCTTTTAGACTTGAGATCTCACTACAAAAGGTGGAGGAAGAGATGTGGCCGACTGTGGTAGTCGGAGACTCGCGGGGTGAGCTGGTCATGACCCCAGAGCAAGTGGAGGCAATCCATGCGCGTCTGGCCCACCTCACATCTGAACACTGGGTACAGTTTTTTTGTTTTATATTATATAGAGAGAGACTAACAACTTGGTAAAAAAGCTTCTCGTCTTTAGATTTAGTGTTTGTGAAGAATGTTTACTCAGCTATTTGTTTATTTTTCGTTAAAAATGAAAAGTATATATATCAGCTGTTTAATGCAAAATCCCGTAATATGTCGCTTTTGGAAATAGCTTACAAGGGAATCTTACACTGAGCAGGCGAATGTGTACAACGATGTTCATTTTCAATACTTTCAACCATTTTATTGTGACTACATTGGGCCCAGCATAGGTCAACAAAGGGGGGTGTTGTCTATGTTTTTATTTTAAAATGAAATTGTTTTTTATCTCAGAATATTGTCCTTTTGTTGGTGTATGTTCTCTTTTGTCGTTACAGTCCACTCCACTTGTAGCTAATCGGTTGTAAAGATGTCCGGATGTAGCGATCTTTTTTGTGTGGAACGGGCACCGATGTAACACAAACTCAATAAAATTGAAACAGTTGTACCGAATTCTCTACATCCATCGTGACGGCTGTTGTGATGCTTATTCTTATACCCGGCCCATATAGTTTATAGTAAAAATATAACGGTTTTAACGATGTTTCCTCCGTGGTTAGTTTTGACCTAGCATTGATGGACCCGATGATTTTTGCAAAGTTACGCACGTTCACACAGTACGAGGCATCAAACACTTGGCGAGCAATCTCCAACATGATGCTATTTATAACCTTGCATGATTTTGATAAGCGCCAAAGCGAACACGATACTGCCTCTCTCTCACTTCGCATAGCACCAGTGAGGTTGAGTACTGGGATTATTTCCCTTGAATTTTTCTTCCAACGGCTGTTGTGAAGTTCGGATGTAGCGATCTTTTTTCTGGTCCCCCCACGACATCGCTACAAGCGTAGTCAACTGTATTTAAAAAACTGAGTATTCTATACTCTGGCTGTTGGCCAAGTTGTCTGTTGTGCCATAATGGTTGAGGACTATAGGATGAACATGAAGAATAACGTTTTAATTAGACTGATTTGGTTGGTGGTTGCTCTGGTGTGGTTTGCTTCTTCTTTCTTATGAAACATCTATCGTCCTCATCTCCCCTTCTTCTTTTTTGTTTATTACTCTTGTAACACCTCTAATCTTCTGGCGCTCATATGACCTAATGCAGTTTCAAGCGCCGTGTAAAACCTTCACTAAAACTAAAACTGATTTGTAAGTTAGTAGATGGATAGCAAGAACTGATCAAAGGTCTTACTTCTTACTTAGAATGTGGTAGTTAATTGTATCAGAAATGTGCTAGTCTCATTAATGTATTTTAAAATATTTTATCTCATATTCTGAGTTCTCAGGGTTCTGAGTTGTTTATTTGTTTGTTTTTTATGTTTTTCTTTTCTTATTATGAGGCAAGTGAATGCAAATTTTTTTCCAGAAGAATTTACAGAGCAAGGTATATCTTCAACTCTTGAAGATTCCTTGCTCCACAAAAGAATTTCTAGAACAATTTCCACATTTGATCTGGTGTCCTTCGAAAGAATTATGTGGACATTGCCACATTGATATTGTCTTTCCATGTCTTTGCAGAATGCAAATCCTGACAAAGACAACAAACCGTACAACTCCCAGATGTTGGAGGACTGTGACGCTATAGACGAGGACGGCGTGATCCTGACTCGCATTGATGGGGAGACTCACAGAGCTACACACAAGGTGAGTCAGATCCTGCTCAGGGAACGCGTGGTTATACTGTCCCTGTCTTTTTATGCAAGAAAAATTCTGAAATTATGCAAACTGAGCCCAAAAATGTTAAATTATGCGATTATGTTAATTTTAACAAAGAATGATAAAGGAAAATAATCAGAAATTATGCAAAAAATGATCAAATTTTGCTAAATAATGCTGGGTGCATAAAACCGCGGGGACAGACATAGTGGTAGGTATTTACACCAGTATGGTAGCTACAGTCCAGAAAACATTCATTTTGGGGGTTTTGTTACATATATATATATTTATGATTTTGTTGTAATGTGGTAAAGGAAGTTTCATGAAAATTACTGGATATTCTCATGAAAATTATTATATTATAAGAAAACTGTGCTGCATACGTCATTGCATTTGTATTCTTTTGAATGGATGAAGAAGTGAGCTACTGAAAAGATGTAGTTAACTTTAAATACTCTCAGATCAAATATTGTAATTCTACTTCCATGAAAGTTTCATGTTTATCCAAATTTAAAGTTTCGTTATATGTCTAGTTTTGAATTCTGTGACCTTGTGAAATTTATTAAAGTTAAAGAGTTCTATTTTGGAAGACCATTTGAATTTGTTTCTGTAAATAGTAAAGACGTAACAAGCAAAAAACAGGTTTATCAATGGTGGAGTTCAAGGCATGGCATTCAAATGTCGATGATGATCCAGACCGTGGCCGCCTCCAGTCTTCTGTGACAGACTAGAACATTCCACGAGAACCACCCCCCCGGGGTGGTGCCACTGATTGAAGTGTCTTTAGGCTGTTCCCAAAGGTGGGACATTTCTCGTTCATGCACAGTAGAATTGTAAATAGGCTGATTCATCAGACTGTGCCTGATCTACAACAGGGAAATGCTGCTTTTTGTTTCCTAATCCTTACCATTGTCATTTTTCCTCTACTTCTTTTGTATGTTTGTCACACTCTTGTGACCCACTATTTCCGGGGTGCCTTGATAGTCGAAGCAGACTTTGTGCTGTTGAAGCTAGAGAGGTGAGCAGAGTAAGCCTGATTCCCTGTAAGGACTTCTCTGTTGACATCCACCCCTTGGCGCTCATATGATCTTATGCAGTTGCGAGTGCAGTAAAACCTCTACTAAACTAAACTTCCATGAGAACAGGCAGATGTGTGAGATTTGTAATGAAAATTACTAAATCAATGTTTCAGGCAATGGCCAGTAACCAGTTTCTGTTCAGTGTGAGGATCAAGCCAGAGACGCCCCTCGCTTTTTGCCTCCGCCACGATGTGGATGGGTTTATCTGGCAGGCGACGGAGGAGGTCAAGCCTGAAAACTGCCCTTGGGAGCACGTCGGTGTCCTCAATGCCTTTGGCTATGTCATGGCCTCAAAGCAGCAGCGGCGATTCTGCTCATGCTCTGAGGACATGTCCACAGCGGTTATTGCCGATGCTCAGCGCCATGTGTATATCTATCGCCAGAAGGTCAAGGTGCTGTCTCCAGTGCGCAATCGGAAGACGGGAGTGCAAATCAACTCTGTGGCGAAGCAGCAAGTGCTGTCCTTGGACTGTAGTCCTGACACAGTCGTTGGAATGCAGATCACAAATACAAAACTCTTTATTCTTACTGAACAAAGGCTTCTGGTTTATGCCTTAGAGGCAGAAGAGTGAAACCAGCGCTTCGCTTTCCTTTTTCAAATTGTTTCTGTACAGCAAAGGCCTCTTTATACTCTTTACGACAGTACACTTTTTGAAAAGGTTATATGTGTATTATGAAAGTTGGATTTACTTGCCAGGCAATGCCTTTTAGTGAACTGTGCACATTAAATAAGCTAATTAACAAAAATGTATTTGGGACCAAAATATGTGAATACTGGGCTTGTAGTAGCAGTGTACCACCGTACTTATGAATTGGCTTGTGTTTTTATGTGAACATAGTATAGTAATAATAAAGACGTTACAGGTCGAGGTATCCCACATAGCGTTGGGTTTTTCACTAACTATTTTGTACCATTTTTACAGAGATGTATTGAGGCATGTGCATGATAATCTCTATTGTAACTAACGTCTCATATGTGTCACGATGGGGTGGAATCAGGCTCTCGTCAATTTTTGGGCATGTAGAGTTATTGGTATCATCTTAAAGTTTGTTCATTTGTCTTTATTTGGACAAAAAAAATATCCTTTTATCTTGAGTACAAGATGAGATATTTGCGAATGAAGGAGGTGGGGGTCACCTGGTTTCAGAGGTAAAATCAGTGAGAAAATGGCCACCAAAGATTAGTTATTTCCTTAGCTTAAGAGTCTGGTAATTGAAAATTTACATTTTTTGTACCTTTAATCAACGCTTTTCAGTAAAATCCACCCAATATGTGTTCTTTTATGGGCATGAAAGGTGTTGAGGCAAAAAACAAAAATTCAATTTTAAAATTCACAAATCTGCCGAAAAATGCCAGTTTCTTCACTTTGACTTTGATTATTTTGACCACCACCACGCTACCTCACATATGTTGTTGACAGACATATTGACTTCTGCTGTGGGACATTTCTTCCAGTAGGCTATATATAGCAAATTACTAAGATACAGATGGGTATTTGAGACAAACCAACATTTTGGACGTTGAAGAAGATGTAGCCTTGCTTTCCCTTCCAAAATATGTTTATGATGTACACATGCAAATTCATGTGATATGTGATGATCTAGCAATTGCTGAACTAAATTTCTCAAACTGATGAATAAAGTGGTCATCTTATTTTCATTAAATTGTTTTGCTTCTTTTTTCTTCAGATGAAGTATTCAGTTTTAGTACAACAGAACTCTGAATGCCTACCTTTCCTTTCGCTTTTGTTAAAGTTTTTTTGTGCTTTGAGACCTGGCTTTTTTTTTTCGAAGTCAAAAGTAGAGCATTTGGTTCCTCACAGCATCAGGTGGAAAAATTCTACAAGAACGTCACCTTCAAAGTATTGCATGTTGATCAAGTTGATTTCACTAATTTGAGCAAAGTTCTTTCTCTAAGTGCTGATCTGTTTGCTCATAAGGTTTTTGCTTGACTTCCCAATAAGAAATATTCACATAATCTTGTACTTGTGCAATAGCAGGTGCTCTGTGCACAGCAGCAGCAATATTCCGCTAAAACCGACTCACGTTAGTCTGATTGCGCTATAGCAGTATTTTATTTACAACGGTAAAGAAGGAAAAAAAAAAGGGGGTTTTAGAAAGGTGTCTTTATAACAGACTTCTCGTTATATCAGGACTCATTATAAGTGGACTCCACTGTACAGGTACTGCTGCCTTGGTAGAGTTCTTTTTGCAAAGGGTTATTACTTTTTTTATACAACTGAGACATTTGATTTTTAGTCTACTTCAAGTTGGCGTGGTCAAACCTTGGTCATTTTTCTCCTGTATTCCACGATCCCATGTCCTTGTTAGAGGGTGTAAAATTCTGAAATTTTGTGAAATGCACAGAAACTGAACAGGCTTCAGTGGTGTCATGGTTAGGTGCTCTGCTGTCACTAGCTGGAAACACCAGTTCCAATTCTTGAGTAGGGAGAAATTTATATCAAGTACTTTGGTCTTTCTGCTAGGATGTCAGGATGTATCGCTCACTCTCAGCATGAGTTGGCCTTGACGGACAAGGTCGGAAGCCCACCTCCCAAAAGGTCTAACTTGTGTTGATGGGGACGTAAAACACATACAGTCCAGTCTCTTTTAGTCTTCCCTTTACTGTACAAACTAGCATGATTTTACGACAGGACCCACGACATTCTGCAACTGGATATCACATTAAATAAATCTTCCTGCATTATCAGGTGCACATCAGCAGCACCCCAAAGATAGAGCTATAGCAAACCACAAACAGCTGTATTGAAAGTGGAAGAGCATGCATGGTTTCAGGGAACTTGGATATAACGTGATAAATCAAATTCCCTTTTTTTCTCAATAAGTGTAAGTAATATGAACCTGGCTATTACAGGGTTCAATTTGCGCAGACTCGGATATAACAGCTATCTTGCTGCGCATAAATTTGCTTTCGAACCCTCAAATTAATCAATATTTGTCTCGACCAAGACGCCTGTTTGTATGATCGCTTGCCTAACCACAACTTTCAAACAAAAACTTCCCACCAGTGTTGGGGTCACTAATTGATTCCGTCTCAGTGTCAGCAAAACAGCCCACTGGAAAAGGATCTGCGGTAATTGAATATATATATATAGTAAGCTGAAGATGCAATGGTACTGGTAGTTTCCCTTGATAATGGTTATAAGAGGACTCGCTTACAACAGGGAAAAACTGTCGGTCTTGCCTGTCCTGTTATAGCTCTATCTGAGTTTGACTGTACATTTTTTAAAAAGAATTATTTAGAGAAACTCACAGAAAATGGGAGTTGGGTTATAGTATTTATAGCATGGGAATACACATAATGTACAGCTTTATTGAAAGTTGAAGAGCATGCATGGCTTCACAATAGAACAAATGAAAGAAAAAATAGTGTTACCGGTATTTGATGAATTTACACTTTGTTTATTTCAGCTTCTTGAAGGAGTTCAAGACCATGACATTTCATTATCAACACCATCACAAAAAAAAAAATCAACAGCACGGAATTTCACTCTCTTCAAGAAACCCATACACTTTCACACTCTGCAACAAACAGTCCTTAAATAAGCAAATCTTCCCTTTACTGTACAAACTAGCATGACTTAAGGACAGGACCCATGACATTCTGCAACTGGATATCACATTAAATAAATCTTCCTGCATTATCAGGTGCACATCAGCAGCAGCACCCCAACAACATCTCAGCAAGCTGTTAGCAGAAAAATATCCACCTTTTTACCACCTCCCCTCATCGTAATAAGGGAACAATAAAAGAAGTCCTTCAATAAATTAAATCAGTGCACTTTTTTTCACCATCTAAGCTTGAATATAAGCTGCTACCAACTTTACTTCTGTGCTTCATCCTTTTCTCAATGTACTCTGTTTTTCAAAGTCCACATTTCCAGATAGACACTTGATCTCATCCAACATCAATTCCTCAATATGAGGAAATATTGACATTGATGGGTTTTATAACACGATTTAAAAAACTACCCTCCTTCAGCAGTGTCATAAAAATTGTCACACAAAGGCTTATTTTGTGTATATTAAAAAAGTAATCACTCCTAGTAATAACCACTGATAACAGTAACACACAATTCAAGTGGAGTGCTGTCATTGGACTTCTCCCCTTTTGAGGTTTCAGATTAACCCTATCCGTACGCCCTGGGGTCATTTTGTACCCCCCGAGGTTGTATTCTTCACATTTTAGTATATTTCTAATATGAAGATCTCTTTGAAACTTTCAGTATTTCTCAAAAAAGTCTTTTGACAGACTGGCTATGCAAAGCGTACGGATCAGATTAACGAGTAAATTTCGTCTTTGAAAGTGGTGGCACAGAGTTCCCCACGTCGTTTGGATACGATAGTAAAACACAATGTACGGATAGGATTAATAAAAACTACACTTTCTTATGTTCTCGATAATGCTTAAAAACATTCAAAACAGCACAAATTGATGACAACACGAGATCTCTGTGAAACAGTGTAAATTTTGCTGACACAACATTAGATGCGAAAGACTTCCACTAGCTTGGAATGGCAGGCCTCACAACAAGGCATGAGACTAAGACAAATGACACAGCACTAGAACGACAGGTAAATCAAACATGATGTATACTCCTGCTGATACAGACGGGGCTAACTAGCGTTACAATCTTTCATCCATATCACTTTCATATTAATTGCAACTCAACACAGAGTCATACAACTTAGAGGAAAGCATACAGGATCTGAAGGTTCAATAACGAGGTAGTCACCTGATAAATCATACAACTTTCCTAAAAAAAACCCAAAAAACAATGTCCTATCTAATAAAGGAGATTAAAAGAAAATGTTCAAATTTCAATTCACATTTGTGTAAGCTTTAAAAATAACTGATCAAATCGACTGTAAACATCTACATAAGAACATCCAAAAATTGACGTAACATACAAAGTCACTCATGCCACTCGAAACACAAAAACATTTAATTTGCAGAGAAAATCTGTGCATCTTCTGTTACTACCTTCATAGCTCAGTTTAGGAAATGAAAAATTACGCCTTACAGGTTGTTCTTGCTGACTGCTGTCGTGCTCTACTCTGTGATCCAAATAGGGATCAGCATTCTAACCATATTGATAAATTGAGGAGTCGCAGCAAGCTCACCCATGCTGCAGGAAGTCTTGGGAACATTTAGTCTGCCAACACGCATACCAGTCTGAAGCCCTGTGCAATAGCAGCCCAACCACTACCATAGAACATTAGTAATCCACTCCTCCTATACAACAAAGAGGAGGAATGAGAGTGGAGGGGACTACTAAATTAGCAAAACAAAGCTTCTCGGCCTATTGGCTCCGATCAAAGGTGGTATCTGTTCTCAGCTTCTCCTCCGGCCTTGTGCCCACTGGTTTAGCGAGGCAGGTACTGCCCGAGGCACGGAGAAATCTAACCCTCTTTTCTATCGGGTGGACGGTTATCGTCCGCTAATAAAAGAAAATTATTTTTAAAAAAAAAGAAAAGCAAAACAAAGCTGCATGAGGCCCGCAAAAATGTGCATCTGCATGAAGAAATGTTTAACTGTATTCTGATGCATAGAAGCCAACCAAAATTCTTCTGAGTCACCAGCAAAACCTCCTTTGTGAAGGAGACAGGTACAGAAAATTAAAATGTGCACACGACAAAATGAGACCATATCCTTGAGGCACACGATGGTCGACTGCTTTGACAAATACTGCATCTTTCCAATCATTACAGCCTTTTCCTTGCACACAATAAGAAAAAAAATTCCAATCTTTACTGAGGCAAAAGTACACTCATTTTATACACCGTTTTTCTTATACGGTTGTCATTGCAAACCTGTCTTTTCACAAGACCAACACACGGAAGTCAAGCTCTACAATGATTCATGTCTTTGGTCAGCTTTCTTGGGGAACTTTCTACTCCCCCAGCGGAGCACTGCCAAGAGTCCCCACAGATCTACAGTCATGGACGGCTGAGCTGACAGATCTCCACATCGAGCTCAGCACTTTTGTCATGCTGTCCCTAATGTAAAAACTGCCTACCAGTACACAAACAAAAACTAACTCCTCCCAGCTCACGTAGATGAAAAGTTTCATTTGATTTATCACTAGGACTGGGCTGCATCTGGTTCTGACTTTTTCTCTTCTTTTTCTTTATTCCAGTTTTCTAGGCCCTTGGGCAAGGATGTATCTTCCTCAAAGGAACCTGTAATTGAAAGAAAGGACAAACAATATTGTATGCACTGTTGAAAGGCAAAGACTGTATTTCAAAGATATGTGTCAATATGACAGTCTAAGAAATAAAAGCTTCTAAGAAAGATCGCCAACTTGAACAGCATTATTGCACCAACAATTTTAAAGACAGTTAAAATAACAGCTTCACTTAACCTAAAACTAATACAATGACAATAATAGCATTGAGAAGAGGTACAAAAAGAAGACTAAACTGGTAGGCTCACAAATTCACTCTCTGAGACGAAAAGTCACTGGCAGACCACTCAGTCAAGGGTCTAAACATAAAATATTGTTTTTTCCCTTGCATGAGTAAAGCCATTTTTGGGGGCGAAAGACACGAGATGTGAAAAAAATACCCACAAACCACTGTTCATTCCAAACCTGAGCATGAATGCAAAAGAAAAAGAAAAGATTTAGGAATCTAAATCACTTGGTTAACTCTAAAAGAGTGAAATGCTTTTTTCAACAAGTATGATCAGCAAACGTCTCGTGAATAATCACTCTTACCTGTGCCAGCAACAAATTCTTCATATGTTGACTTCTCAGCAAAAGGTCTCTTGCCTAGAAGCTCTACCATGTCATCCTTGTCCAGTTTTTCTTTCTCTAATAATCTGATCGCAACCTGCAACAGTACCAAAAACAAATATAACAATCAAAACTACTTTTGGTAGATGTTCTTTTCCACTTTTCAATATACTTCAAAAGACGGGAAAGGATCAAATCTTTATATAATACTAAAATTGGAATCTTAACACATGTTCACCTCCTTTGGAGAACCTAAACGGATGGGTGACGGGGAAAGATCAGGGTAATATAGCTTTTTTAAGAGCATCCAGGCAAAGGAATGAATGAAGAACCATGATCTCCGACGTCAGTCGCAGATCTGGCACTTGATGATGATGATGAATATATTATTTCTTTTGTGTTCAGCACGGGGCAAGGTGCTCACTTGCCGGAAAAGTTTCAGTTTCAGTAGTAACACTTTGTCTTTAACCCTCCAAGTTGTTATCAGCTGATTAGATAGGCCAAAAAGTCTGCACTTAAGGAGTTGATGCCAATCTGACTGCCTGAACCCCTATTTCAGATCCCTTACTCAACTTTGTAGTTACAGAATCAGTCTGCTGCCACGCAGAAGAGTCTACTTTTACAGGCGCAGAAAGAAGGATCGTCACAGCAAATGAGTGAGCCAGAAACACAGAAACACAGAAACCTGTTACTGTCAACAGAGTTTGTGACCGTCTTCTTTTTCTGGTGTCAACACTCATGATGTCTCAGTCTGATCCTCAGTATAGGTTATAAATAAACAAAAGGCCTAAAATATTTCTTTCAATGCATTTTCCAATTAAAAAAACAGGAGAAAAGCAGTAAGGAGAAAGATAGGCCCTATTCGTATATGTAGTGCTGGATCCAGACAAATTATCTTTGATTTAAAGAAAAGCATTAGACAAAAATCTAGATTTCATGCATCAACAAAAATAGTCATTTCAGTCAAGGAATTTCATGTGCTTTTACTCCCAAGTCGTAAAATCCCTGAAAACAATGTAAAATAAGTCCCAAGTGACTTTAAAAAGTTGTATTGAAAGCTACTAGCAGTCTTTTCCCTTCCCTTCACTGTCATAAAAGAATGGTCACCTTTTCCACATGTTGCTTGTGTTTGTTAAGTAGATCCAGGGTCCTCTGGTAGGCATTTTGGACAATCGTCCTCACTTCCTCATCAATCAGCTGTGCAGTAGCCTCACTGTATGGCTTGGAAAAGGCCATTTCTCCTTGCTGGTTCATGTCAAATGACAGTTGCCCCACTTTCTCGTTCATACCAAACATAACAACCTGGGGAGTGGAGTAGAGGGTGGTTGGCGGGTGCTCTAGTGTGGTTTGCTTCTTCTTTCCCATGAAACATCTATCGTCCTTATCTTCCCTTCTTCTTTTTATGTTTTGTTACTCTCTTGTAACACCTCTAATCTTCTGGCGCTCATATGACCTTATGCAGTTGCGAGCGCCGTAAAACATCTACTAAAACTTTTTTTAAACTTGGAATGAAGTAAAAGGAAGGCACCCAGTCAAAAACAATGTTCTTTCTTATAAATTAGGTAGGCACCAGAAACGAAATTTTCAAAGTGGCTGTATAATGAATTTCTTAGTTCCGTGTGAAAGGCCTACACTCCAGAGACATTTTTATATAATTCTTTCACATCAAGCTGGCAACAATATCAGATACATAGGCCTGCCTTGTGCCCCTAAAATGAGCAGGTTACCGTACCACTGAACACTTCTGTGATGTAAACAACAAACATGTCCTTGGTCTACACTACTGCTCTCAGCTTAAGCTTATATATAGGGAGTTCATTGGCCTATACTACTGATTCCATCCCATGCCCCCCCAGCCAGATCAGTGAACAAAATCTGCAATTACGTGTAATTATATATGCTCGCCAACGCCAGTTTTTGGTGGGGTTTTTTACCATGTACAAATTCTTAACTATGAACACAATGTGCCCATTTTGAATGCAAAGAATTTTTTGTTTACTTCATGTAAGATACTAATGGTTTTTCTTCACCAAAATAAACAAAATCATGTTTTCTGTTTGTTTGTTTTTTGTTGTCTTTTTTTTTTTGGGGGGGGGGGGAGGTCTTTCTATACAAGGTTACAGGCTAAAAATAAAAGTTATAATTGAAACTAGAGTTGAGGTTTAGAAAGAATCATTGTGGCATAACCTAAGTGGTGGATGCATCTTGGTTGGTAAAATAAATCTCCAGCCTTGTTGCAAGTAGGCCTTGGGTGAATTTTATGTGCCCTTGATACAATGACCAATATCCCACTGTCTTATAAATAGGAAACGCTTATCACAATTAAGGGCAAATAATCAATAACTCATCATGAAGAAAAACAATTGCTGTACATAATACGCCAGCATGCTGCATGTTCAACAGGAAAGAGTTATTACACAGAGACATAGAAGGGGCGCGGGGGGGCGGGAATACTTGGAACAACAGATGCTCCACAGCATCCTACCTGAGAATATGCAGTCTGAGTGACTTTCCTCAAGTCGTCTTGTGCACCAGTTGTGATTTTGTTGAAGAAAATCTGCTCCGAACAGCGTCCCCCAAGCATCATGCACATTCTGTCTAATAACTGTGAAAGCAAGGTAAAAAATATACTTTGTCATTTCCAAAAGCTAAGAAAGCGGAAATACTAAAAATGCCTCTTCAACCATTTGAAAAACTGCAGTGTTGCTAGCCCAGTACCAGTCAAGGGTCTAAAAGTTTAGACAATCTCAGTTAACTAGTTTAAAACAAAAACATATCCAAATGTCATGAACTCTTCTCAAAATACAATTTCTTAAGAATTGCTAAATTTAAGCCGTGCTCAAATAAAGTACAGCTAACTCTATTTCATCTCATTTGAACAAGACTATAAATTGTATTGAAAATGAGATTACGTTGTGAAGACAATGCAACTCCATGGCTTCATGTTCAAAGTCATGTGTAATAGTTCTCATTTCTCAGCACTTATTCAAAGAACAGACTACAAAAGAGGTCAAAGCTGATCAGAAAAATGAAACTACCATTGTTTGGGTTAACAGACACCATCAATGCATCAACTAACACTTAAAACAAATTTTCACACTCATTTCTTCAATCAGCTGCGCACAACTTTTGCACAGCAACATTTATTCACAGTACAAAAAGTCTCTGCAACAACATAAATCTTACCTGTTCCTCTGTGTATAAATACTGTTCTTTAGGCAAGTACTGAGCATATCCAAGACCCTTTCCTCGTGGTATTATTGAAACCTAGGGAGGAAAAGACAGTTTTCAGCACAGTTCAGAGCATAGCAGACGCAAACAATAGCCGATACTACAGATCAATGTGAACTGCACCTTTAAATATATTACCATGTAAAATCAAAAGAGAACTAGAAACATATATGTTTGAATCATCAAAGTTTTAAAACAGATACCCTCTTCAACAAAAAGCAATTTTCTTCATAATCTTTGCAAGCATCAATCATTTCATGATAAAGAATGGAAATGAGGAATTCCAATAATGAGTTGTACTCATAAAGGCAGGAGTACATCTTGTTACTTTCTTAGTGAGCATAGTACCTTTAGTAAAGGGTCTGCATGCTCCAAAAACCACCCAGTGACAGCATGCCCAGCTTCATGGTATGCCACAGTTTTTTTCTCCTCTGGCTGAAGAACTTGTGTTTTCTTTTCAAGACCTGTAGTATATCAATAAAAATACATGTTACAGAAAATGCATGCTGTTCCAACCCCTACAAATTGCCCCATGTCACAAATTATGGAAAAAACATAAGGAGCCAAAGATGTTCAATATCTGTCCGTGTGGTTTTATGCACCCAGAATAATTTAGCAAAATTTGATCAATTTTTGAAAAATTTCGGATTATTTTCCTTTATCATTCTTTGTTAAAATTAACAGATTCGCATAATTTCACATTTTTGGGCTCAGTCTGCATAATTTCAGAATTTTACTTGCATTAAACGACGGGAACGGAATTAAAAAGCTCTCAATACATTACTGTTTTCAAAGACATACGTATCCTCCTGAGGAATTCCTTACGCAAGACAGACCCAGAGTAACCACATGACATGAGCCAGTGCCCTCCAGGGACAAGCTCAATGGCAACTTGAAAGCCAATGAAAGCATTCTGATGGACAGATGCACTACCTCCGAATTACAAAGTTTTATCTACCATTTTGGCCGTTCTGAGTTACTAAATAGTAGACCATGAGGTCAGAAACCAAATGTTCTATCTGCTCGATCAAAATCATTAGGTTACTTGGAGTCATTATCAAGATATTCAAAGAAATGCTTTCGAAAAGCTTGACTGGTTGTGAAACTCAAAATTTTGTACGTCAAATTTCTTAAAACTAGGTACTGAGTAGATAGAACTTTGTAATTCTAAGGTAACGGCTTGTGAAAATGTCAAGCATTACCAGGAAGACGAGGAGAAAGAGGAGGTAAGATGAACGGGGGTTGGGCGGTGTGCCTTATGCGGTGAAGTTTTATGCGTTATGTCATAACAAAGAAACATTACAATTATTTCCGACATACCATGTCTCTTGATGGGGAAACTCCAATTTTAAGAAAATCTTGCAGTGAATTCAAACCAAAATAATTCACACCATAATCTTGAATCAAATACTAAAAGAAAAAAACTGCACACAGAATCAACTGTTCTTCATAACCTGGCTTATACCTGCAACAACTCTTTCAATGGCTTGTTCAAAATGCTTCTCTTGAATTGCAGAATTCAGATCTCTTGCAGCTATCAAGGCAGCCTCATTACATACATTAGCAATATCAGCTCCTGAGGAGAAAAAGTCAGAGAAATGGTTTATACAGGATTCAATTGTGTGACCAGACCTGGAACTAAATTCTACAAAGAAATTTAATAAAACACATCAGCACTTACGATAATTTCACATGAATTTATCTGAATTTTTCTTTTCTTTCAAGCTTTTGAGCTTGGACATGAACAACTAATTTTTTATCTGGACTATTTGAAAACTATTCTCTGCAAAACAGAACTCAATAAAAGTATTCTTCTTAAATAAAGAGCTCAGAAAGTGATTAACGAAACATAAAAAAGATAAGAATATTCAAACTTTTCCTGTTAAAATTATCAGGAAAACAGATATCAAATAACTATGGTATAGCATACAAATAGTGCTGAGCCATACCTTGAGTTAACTTAATAAGAGAATTAATGAATAAATACAACAATTATACTGTAAAATTTCAAACTTGATTGTCTATGATCATAATAAATAAATCGCCTTTCTCTTGCTTTACTAACCAAAGAGCTGGCTATATGAAAAGAAAGATACCTGAAAATCCTGGAGTGAGAGCCGCCATTTTCCTTGCAAGATCATCTATTTGCAGGTCAGTCTTCAAGTTGTTCAAGTGGACTTTGAAAATGGAAGCCCTGCAAAAATAAGGTATGCTTCAAACATGCATCTCCGTAAACACCTCTTTCACCTGCCACTAAGCAAACTTCTTAATTGTATCGTGTCAAGAAAAACTTCAGAGTCCACCGAAGAACTGTCATTAGCTCCTGATTCAGACGTAGTAGACAACGTTCAGATTCTTGTCAAGCCTTCTAAAATGTTGTACTAAAATTCAACAATGGTCCACCCCCAAAAAAGCAAGCCCTCTTTAAAAAAACATATTTAATTTATAAAAAACTCACCTTCCTTTAATATCTGGCAAAGGCACAAAAATTTGTCTGTCAAAGCGGCCAGGTCTGAGCAGAGCCTGGTCCAGGATGTCTACTCTGTTTGTTGCAGCCAGAACCACCACACCAGTCTGTGTGTTGAAACCTGACAGCATAGATCAGGAAAATGTTCACGTTTCTTTTAACAAATGAAACTTCATGTTCACAGGTACCACACGTAACATAATCTTTCTTGTAACACAAATCTATTTCACCCCACATATTACATGTATTTGTGCCTGAGCTTATAAGCACCTGTGAAAAGAGGCAACATTATCAAAACTTGTTTATCTTAATTCATAAGATTATCCTCTCCTTCTATATTGGCTGTGAATGATGGACAATCACTAAAGAGAGAGAAAATAAAATAGAAGCAACAGAAATGTGGTTTCTTAGGAGACTGCAAAGAGTATCATGGAAGGAAAAGAAATCAAATGAGGTAGTGCTTGATGAAGCCCACGTGGGACATTCAATGTTAAAAACAATCAGGAAACGACAAATGCAGTATTTGGGACACCTAAATAGACATAAGGGTCTGGAACATCTAGCTCTCACTGGCAAAATTGAAGGCAAACGAGGCAGGGGTAGACCCAGAACAATCTACTTGGGGAACCTAAACAAATGGGTAACGGCGAAAGATCAGGGAAACGTAGCTTTTTTGAGAGCATCCGAGCAAAGGAATGAAAAGACAACCAATGTCTGTTGCAGATCTGGCACTGGATGATGATGATCCTCTCCTCGTTTTAAAAAGTGATTAACAAATATAAGTTTCCACAAGTGCAAACCATTAGCAGAACTTAGTTTCCTGACCCTTCCACTCACCATCCATCTCCACTAAAAGCTGGTTCAAAGTGTTCTCTTGCTCTGAGTTGCCACCCCAATTTCTGCCACTCCGTTTCCTTCCCACGGCATCAATTTCATCAATGAACAGAATACATGGGGCCTTTTTCCTGGCAAGGGCAAACATGTCTCTCACCTGGGGAACAACAATAAACAATCAAGTCTAAAGCCTAAATCAAATCTTATCTGCATGGAAAAATCTCTCTTTACAAAACGCGGAGGTGTTCCTCAGAATATAGAACAGTCGCTCATTTAGCTAATTTCATTAGAAAATAGGATATAAGTAGAAGCTTTAATAAGGAGATGAAGAAGCATACTGAGGGGTTTTTCTTTTTAATCAGTATGGTGATCATCTAACATTTGAAGATAGCAAGTCCGAAGCACACCAGTTATTCTATGTGTGTGTGTGTGTGTGTGTGTGTGTGTGTGTGTGTGTGTGTGTGTGTGTGTGTGTGTGTGTGCGTGCACGTTGTTTAGGTCAAATGGTCTCACAATGTTCATTTTCTGTACTTTGATTCGTCAGTTGCATTGAAGGATAATTCTGCAGTGTACATCGCTTAGAGCCTTCTGGGGATCAGGTGCTATATAAATTCCCATTTTTCTTATTGTTACTTAACTATTTGTATGTCATTGCTGCAAAGCATGCAGTTAGAGAGAAAGACTTGAAGGTCCTATTCCTTTCAATATTTCAGTCTCTCCTATATGGCTTTTTCTCAACAGTTAGCATCCATAATTAAGCAAACACATTCCTCTCTCACTCAAACATAACGCTGGAATAAACGTCTTAATGCTGGAATAAATGTCTGCACTCACCCTGGAGGGCCCAACGCCAACAAACATTTCCAAGAACTCGGAGCCAGACACTGTGATGAAGGGCACATTGGCCTCTCCGGCAGTAGCTTTGGCCAACAGTGTTTTTCCTGTGCCAGGGGGGCCTGTCAGCATGGCACCTGAACAAACAAGCAAGGTACATTGAGGAGTTGCTGCAGTGGTTACAAGAAAAGGACAGAGACTCAATGCAATAACCAAGAGTTTATATGTGGCTTCAGAAATTGTGTAGTAAATGGGTCCCTGAACCCAAAAAAAAAGGACAGAGATTCAATGCAATAACCAAGAGTTTGTATGTGGCTTCAGAAATTGTGAAGTAAATGGGTCCCTGAACCCACTTTTGGGGGGTATCACAATAAAGAAAATAAAAAATAAATAAAACAAGTAAAGTTTGTAAGTTATAGTTTCTAATGAACAAGAATATATTTTGCAAATTCTTTATTTCTATTCCAAGGTAATACACCAAATGGCAGGGAGACCCACAGAAACAGAGACTGAGTAAACCTGATCAAATTTTGGAGGCTTCACAATTCATTTAAAAACATACTTAATGAAAAGCCATCTTGATAGTTAGTCCTCCTTATTTATAGTATAGTAGTATAAGGTTTTACGGCGCTCGCAACTGCTAAGGTCATATGAGCGCGCCTCCTTATTTATAGTACTTACTCACATGTTCACAAAGAGATATGCATACCGTCATCAATTGTACTGTGATAGTATGAATGTCTACTTATGTGTTAGCTTGAATGTTTCAAGCTGTGTTGTACAGGAGTGGGCCCTTTTGAAATTATCTGCATTATCATTAGTATTATCATTATTATTATAAGTAGTAAGCCAGTTTTGGACATCGATTTTCATGCACCTGATTATGAAAAATTCTGTTTTAAGACGATAACATTTAACAAACCACAACAATGCAAGATAACATAATCTCCTTGTATGAGAGCTTAACATTCTTCAAGTTTTCATTAAAATAAAAATACAGTCATGATTGAAGGAGTATTACTTTAGCAGTGATTAAACTGACTTTGCAATGAAATCAAATGCTGAAAGTATAGCAGCAGGGTACATGTTCTCAGACTGACAAAGATAAAATAAGAGATATGAAGGCAAATGCTCAAAGACCTTTTGGAATTTTGGCTCCCAGATCCAAGTACTGCTGTGGATTTTTCAAGAAGTTGACAAACTCCATAATCTCCAGCTTTGCCTCTTCGCATCCTGCAACATCACTGAAAATGAAAATGAACGTCCACTATTAATTTATCCACTTATAAAACACAGACATTTTATACCATTCTTTAAAAGAAACTACTTGTTGCCAGTAATTCAAGAACACAAGTCCATCTCCAAAAAGTTTGAGACACAGAAATTGAAAATCATATATACAGAAAAACTCTTCTGCACTACTCTGCAAAGTGTGCCACTGTCACACACAGAAGGACTTATGGTTAATGAAACCTTGATATGGGGCACTGGAATTACTTGTAATAGCAGATCAATCCAGCAGAAAGATCAAAATGCAGCTCCTATTGGACTCTACTATCACATAGATATAAGATTAAAATACATGAAGACCAATGAAACACACCCGATTCCATTGAGAAAACAGAAATGAAATTTATCCCAAATGGTAAGTATACACCTCTCCTATTCCCAAATCTCAAACCGCGAACTCCGAATCTTTCAACATATGAGTAAAAAAATAAAACATTTAAATTAAACAGTGACTTACAACATTTTCACTTCACCAACTGAAATCAAGACTTACCTGAACTTCACCCCAATGTCCTTCTCTAACACTTTGGCAGTGGTCTGTGAAAAGCCAAACATGCCCCCAGGGCCACTTCCTCGCCCAGCACCAGGCTTGCCCATTGGCTGTTGTTGGAAGCAAATTGAGTGAAACATTTTTCATTGAGGCATTAAGTGAGCATGGAAGAAAACGGATTGATAAAGAAAACAACACAACTCTAGTAATTCTCGACACCTGACAAAAAAGTAAACCTGCACTCCATACCCATATCATTTTTATAACAAAGCTTCTTACTTCATTGTAAACACCAGATCAGCACAATTCAACAACTGTGGGTATCTCTGTTTTGAGACAGACAGGCTAAGCACACATTATTGGTACAGGAAATAAATCATGTTTAATGAAGGGGGCTTGACAGACTTGCTCACAATACCACAGCACCAAAAGCGGTTCCCTGGCTTGCCAAATTCAGATAAAGATAAAGCTAATCATTTTAGGGTGTTCAAAATTCATATAATTTTGTTTCTAAAAATGAATACATTATATAAAACTTTTTTAAAAAGTGTGCATTTTCTTTAAGCAGGACTCAACAGTAGCACAAGTAACATCCACTAGTTCAGAAAGGATCATTTTTACTCAAATATGACCAAAACATTGTCAAAATTCAATGGCATCAAAGAGAATATTTAACCCTTCCAGCCCCAGACATGTTTGTGTACTCCCTAACCCCAGTCCCAGCCAATACAGCAGTATTTCAGAAAAAGAGGCATACATTCAAAAAAGTGATGTAGCATCTTTGTAATGAGGTTTATATAATAACATATAATGTTTAAAGGTAAATGAACAAATACTCTGAAAATTAAAGTTTAATTAGGTTTGCTAATTTTGAAAAAAAAGGCGCAAATTAAGTACTCCCTGAAACTGAGAATATATGCTCTTGGGACAGAGGGAGGTACAAGCGCTGCTGAAAATATACTCCAATTTAAATGCAAATGAAAAAACATAAAAAGAAACTTACTCCTCTGCGGAAGAACCAGATCATGATTCCGATGGGTATTAACCATCCCAAAGAGTTCAACACCATGCTGCCCCTGTAAAATGGTTATAAAAAACAAAGCATTTGAAAGAACACATTGATAATATGATGAACAAACATACACTGAAATATTAGGAAATGAAAAATAAGCATGACAGGGGTATTTGCCTTGCAGGCTGCAACGCTGCATATCCCCAAGAAGACTTGCTCACCAATGAACTCATTGTGAAGTTATATAAAAATCCACTCAAGGTAACATAAAACTATATATATATATATATATACATACATATGAACCAACTTAAACTTTAAAATCCTGTTCTGTAAAAAATGTTTTGAGAAGACATTTCCCAAAAGCTAAGAAGTTACTTCAGTCACTAGCAGATTTATCAAATTACTAAAACTTGTCATGCTTATCTCTACCTAAAGTGAATATCATTCATCTTGTGTATAGTAGACTTCACATTTTCTATTAAACAGTTCCATCACGCCAGTATACATACCAGTCTGACTCTTTCTTATAGACCACTGTGATGAAATTGTTGGGTTCAACATTCATTTCCATCTGTGCCTTCTCCAGATTTCTCTCAAATGTTTCCACACTGCCAATTGTGAACCAAATTGTGTGCTGGAAAAGATATTATATTACAAATCAGAAGTCAGATTTCACAAATGAAACATCTTGTTCAACACAATTCATCCAAAAACTAAAACAGTGCCCCGTCGCCAATGTTATATCATCAAAACCATTATTTCATTATTATCTGACGATTTGAATGAGGCTCTAAGGAAAGTCTGCACAATAAAAACCATAATTGTTAATAATATGTAATATGCATTCTCATTTTTAACAACACCAAAATTTTGCATTGTCATTTTGACTCACTTTCACAGTTTATCCACCTGGTGGAAGATTGAGATGAATGAAATATTTTGAGAGACAGAAAAATCAATAAGTTGGCCCGATTATTCTTCCATTAAAAATATTTGTTTAAAAATAGCTTTTTTGTTACTGTTTTTGTAGTGTGGGGGGAAGGCAGGGGCAGCAAAATAAGCAGGGTTAGTAGGTGATACACCAAGAAATTGAAAAATGATATAGATGGTACTAACAGAAAAAACAGAAAGTTCTACTACATTTGTTCAATGAGACCTGAGCGACCAATCTTAGAACACAACCATCTTTCTAGACACCAACAGGCTGCATAAGCTGAAGTTGATATTCACAAGTTGACACAGAGATATTTCAAGGCATTAGAAATTCATTTTCATTACCAATAGACATCTTTTTTTTTTAAATAAAAGATTTGATCCATTAAAAAAAATAATACAGCCCAAATGCATAATATTGTGGCAATGCCAAACATATGAATATAGCCAATTAAGTTGGGACAGGAATCATGTCAAACCCGCTTGTACATATTCAGACAGTTACACACTTTTAATGAAGGCACAAAAGGCAAAAAAAGCAACCACGCAAGGTACTCACACTGGAATCAACTTGGGACCCAGGCATAAATCGAACTCTGACCCATTTGTTGTTTACCACCTCCACTTGATCCACCTGAAAAACATTTTTTTAAAAACAACAAATGATTTACATCTGAAATATTTACGTTTACTATCTTTTATCATTAATGAAAATTGAATATCAATTACAAATCAATTACAAGAGTAAGACATAAAAACTACAAGGCATCCCATTCTATCTGTTTAACAAGCTGTCACCAATAACTCATTGAAATGAATAAATGCACTGTCACCATCAGGTGATCAGAAAGTAAAGTTTGCTGGTACAAATTTCTCAGACTCCCTCATCAGAATATAAATTTCTAGATATCCTTCTTTACACATTTAAAGAAACCACCATCACAAGAAATGACTCTAGACCAATAACACACAAAGATTTTCACATAAAAAGATACATGTGTCACGGGGTGGTGGAATCAGGCAATCGTCAATTTTTGGACATGTGGAGTTATTGGTATCATTTTAAAGCTTGTTCATTTGTCTTGATTTCGGAGAAGAAAATACTCATCTATCATGAATAAAAAAGTCCAGATATTTGCGATTGAAGGAAGTGGGGGTCGCTTGGTTTCAGAGGTAACATTAGCAAGAAAATGATCACTGAAGATAGGCAACTTCCAAAGCTTGAATCCTTAGAAACTGCACATTTTCATTTTTGTGCCTTCAACATTTTTGTAAAATCCACACAGAAATCTATTTTTTAATGGACCTTCAAGGCGTTGAGTCAAAAATCAAACATTCTTTAAAAATTACTTAACAGACAAAAAAAATAAATGCCAGTTTCTTCGATTTCATTATTTTGACGAGCGCCCGATTTCACCACAAGCTTCACATATGTGTATATATTATTATATAAAGATGCCTACAATTTATGAATCTAAAAAGACAAACCCACCATTCCTGAGGTGAGAAAATTCTGAAAGAACTCTTTCATGGTGATTTCTCTGTACTGGCTGGAGTAGAGCATGTAGAGAAGCACAGCGCTGCCAAGAGCCCCAAAAGCAAGCATCTGTTTGTCAGGTGGTCCGCCTCCAAGTTTCTTACCACCTTTGTCTCCACTGCCACACAAAGACAAAAGAAACACATAAACACACACATCCCCAATTCACAAGGAGGGGTGTGAAAAAAATTGACGCGAAGTTAAATAATGGTCAATTACAAATTTTCGAAAAACTACATAAATCAGATGAGCTGAGACCTTACTGTTTATCCTGAAATTTGAGACGAGGCAATATATAATGTCTGAATCAAATATCCACTCACAGCCATTTAGATTTAAACACAGCCTGTTTCACCTTTTACTTGTTGACCAGCAAAATATCACCATACTGTGATACTAGGATCCCTAGTCTCCAATTTACCTCTGCTGTGCACTGCTCTCTTCAAAGTCTCAGTAGGCACAGAGGGCTACAGTACTAGTTGAAGCAACAGGTCAAGTTCAATAGGTAAATAACGACAATTTAAAGTGAGTGTCATTTGAGAAGCTACATAGAGAAAATATTAAAACCAGTTTTCCTGAACAATATTACTTTTTTAATGAATATAATGTTAACATTTACAACTATGGTTCCACATATTTCATGAGACAAAATACAAGCAAGACAAATAAACCACACAACATTGTCTTTTGCATCAGCTTAGACAGAAATAAAACGTCCTTACTGTAACCACAATTCAGTGCTCAGGCTTTACATCATCAGTTTATATTCAGCAATGAACTGGAACTTTAAAACAGTGCACCAGATAGAGAAATACAGTTTAAACATCCAGTTAACAAACTTTCAAGCAGGTAAATAAAACTACATCGCACTTTGAAATAAATGAAGAAGCATAAACCAAAAATGCAGACAAGGTAACAAAACAAATGCCTTTCCAATTTTAAATAAGTGCGAAATACACAAACCAAAATTAAGTTTGCATAAGGCAATGATTAAAGTTATGGCAAGAGTAAATATATATTCTTACAACACATAAGCCCTGATTATTTCTGAAATCAGAATAAAGTAGTTAGAAACATACCCAAATTCAAACTTGAACTTAAACTCAAAGCCTTCATCGTCCTCCTTTGATGATTTGGAAGATTTTGGATCTCCTGTGCACAAGATAGAAGACATGTTCAGTCTTAGTAAGAGTTTAAAGGCACTTGCAACACAGTAAGGTCATATAAGTGCCGAAGATTAGAGGTATTACAATCGAGTAATAAACAAAAAAGGAGGAGAGATCAGGACGATGATAGATGTTTGATAGGAAAGAAAGAGCAAACCACACCAGAGCACCCGCAAACCACCCACAGAGAAGACATGAAGATGATAATTAGGTTGTAAATTCTGCACAATATAAATAAGTAACAATTTGCCTCATGCAGCAAGTAAAACTAAACAATCAGTATCACAGTTGAAGTGTTACAAGAAAATTTCAAAAGATGTAACTTTCATTTTCAAAAGAATAGAAATTAATATCTATTTTCGAGGTACAGGACGTCAATACTTCACTATACTAATACTATACTTTACAGGTTACCCTTTAACTCTTATTTATCTGTGCTGTCATTCTAAATTCGTGTACGCCTAAATATTTATATCACAACAAAAAATGGATTTAGATAGATCTATCTCGTTTACTATACCAAAAACTTAACAATCTGCACTATGAATGAAGTATAGAAACTGAGATTAAATGCAGAAAAAGCAGGTGTATGGTATAGGATTTCAGTAACAAATTTCAGGGGAGAAAATAACTCTTGACTCTAGATCTAAAACTGTTAGTTGTACAATGCGCCACTATTCGCAAAATACACTTTCAAGTTGCGAATTCTCATAAAGAAAGGAAATATCATCATGTTTATTTTGAACTTGCCCAGTATTATTAACATCGATTAGGAAGACAGAATAGAAATTTGTATTAAATTAAAGGAGATGGAAACAACACGCTCTGAGTCATTCTGGCGGAAGAAGGTAAACGGAAACAACAAGAAACATATCGTTCTGGTCAATAGGTATTAAACTAAAATACTGGAAAATTGAATGGTACACTTTACTCGACAATTCACACCTTTAGACTTTGGTGAAGATGAATCTGGCTTCTGAGGCTTGTCTGAAAAAAATCTGTGGGCTGACTTGTTAAGAGCTGCCAACTGTCGAAATAATGTCTTTGTAGTCAAAGGTGCTGTTGTATGTAACTTCTGTCTTGCCTGAGGATGTTAAAAAGTTGGGGTTTTTTTTCAAGAACGAGATTAATTAAATCAAATATACGCTATAATGATGGCTAAAGAAATCAATTTATCCATGACTGTGAAGCTTATATGGGCTTGATAATTTTACAAAAAAGAAGTTCCAGTGAAATTTTTTTTTTTAAAGGCAACAATAAATCTTTGTATCTAAAGTTTGAAGACAACAATGAGGATCGTCAAAATAAATGGAATAACATTAAATTTCAACACTTTATAAATACAGCCCTCTACACTTAACAATCCCTTGATCAGGAGACAAAGCAAAGCAGGTTCTTATGTGGACCTGTTCCTTAGTATTTTCAATTTAGGTAGATATTAATTTAGAATTTTCTTTGGGTGGCAGCCTAGGCCTCATGTTATCGATTTTAGAACCATCAAGGGATTTTTAATGGGCGCAACTTGCAAATGGAACCCCCAGATTTTTTCGCCATCCGAGATCAGCGAGTTTTAACCTAAAGTACCTAAACCCTAAGATCAGGGGTGGGTTGAAAAACAGCAGTAAGAAACAGCCAGGCGTTTTCAGTAAAAAAGAGTCACAAGTAAGGGGGAGTAGACCACACAGAGAGCCGAGGGAGGGTAAAGAGTGGTGACCGGGCAGAGAGAAAGGCAGATGACAGAAATATGACTTGAGAATAGAGCAGAAACTTTTTCCCCGTTGCTGGCAGGATTCCATCCCAGGATCTTTTGACTGATAGGCGAACGTCTTACCTCTAAAACACTGTGTTGTGAACACAGTAAGTTTTGAGTCCAACAACACTTGAGTACGAGTCAAATTTTGCTATATTATCAGGTAGCGTCAATTACAACCGAGTCTATCTCCATCAATGCGCCAAGATTTTAATCTTATTGTCCTGCGTCTGTGCCGAGATGCGATTCTTATCAGTAACTTCTTACAAAGCGGACGGGTCGCCGAGGTCAGTCACCGTGTACTGTTAGTCTACAGCGAGCGGCCCTGGAAACATGTGTTTTCGCCATGAATACCGTGGGTTGTGTTAATTGATGATGAAAATAACGCTCTATGTTTTATAAATAGCTGTCTATTTATAAAGTGTTACGAACACATGAATAAAACCCCCTCCCATAATTTGTAGATCAAGTTATCACGAGTAGTTACATCCAATCGAATTTAAACCTTTTAGTTTTAGATGCTCTTGTTACATTCCGAATGATCTGGGGTTCGAAAGGAAATAGTATAGAATTACCAAATGTTCTGCACTCAAATTTTTCTTTTTACCTGCATAATGGTACTTAAACTATCAATTTATAAATTTATTTATTATCACAAGTAATATCACTTTGCATAATTTCAAGCTCATTTGAAAGATTATGTATGGTAAAATGGAAGTCTTGTCTCCTGGCTTACCTTTTAAGGTCCTCATTTCTAATTTCATTATAGGACGAACATCTAAAGCTATCCGTACAATGTACCAACTTGGCGTGTTTTGAACGAGACATGCGCTTCGGTGTAAAACCAACGCAGGCGGTTCTAGAAGTAGGCCACAAACGCACACAAACTCAAGCAGACTGACGCACACACACTTCAACTCCATGAATATGCGGAAGTTCACAAACGCAGAACATCGAGCACATAAGCTTATAAACTCACCAAAGCAAAAGAGCTCCAATTTACTAGGTGGCAATTGACGCTAGCATCAGATGTCACTGCGTAACTCAGTTGACTCATTGGCAATTGACACTACCATATTATTATTGGGTCAAAAAAAGGGAATGGTTGATTCATAGTGATCATTAATCATTCCTCCATAAATGAACATAGATGACCCAATCCAATCCTGCCAATGGGCATCACCTAGACATCATCATGTTGGCTATTATATAATTATTAATATGACATGAATTGAATATGATGTTAACAAGGAGTCGGCCCAGATCTAATATTGTAAAATAATAATAACGAAGTGACTATTTTTCAGAACGCTCGGGAAAATAAACTTGACCTCTATTTCTCCGAATGGTTTTACAGTTCTCGAGATATTTTGGTCAGTCTATTTGCGAAAAGTCGGCGTCATCTTTAATTCTGCCACTCTGCAAGGACTGTGAACTCAAAGAAGCATCTTTTGCATCGAATTCAATTTCTAGAGCAAGAGATTTTTGGATGTCTGAAATATTTGAGTCTGAATATTCAGGTGAAGATACTTCAATTGTGGTGGGGCAACGTTCCCGAACTATACTTCATTTGAAAAGACTGAAAAAGGTACTGCGAGAAAACAAGACAGCTCGACTTTGGCAGTAACCTATTTGACATTTAGTCACCCCTAAAGCAAAAAATAAAAAATAAAAAAATCCTTCCATGCCCCCACCCCCTCCCCCCGTTCACATTTTTTCACAAACACACGCATACTCACACTCGCGCGTGGGGCCACTCCATTCGCGAGCAGGCTAATCTAACCAAAAAATCTCAAGAACGGAAACCATTTGGAGAAATAAAGTTCAAGTTTATTTTCCCGAGCATTCTGAGAAATCTAGATCTAGATCTAATAATAATGGCCACCTCTATTCTCACCGCGGGTGAGAATAGCGCAGGCGAGTCTTTAGGCTATTCTCACTCGGTGTGCGTTCACCGTTATTGCCTAGATCTAGGCCAACCAATTTTGCGTTCACCCTAAACCACAGAATTCTACACTGTGATAACAGAAAAAATTTAGAATTCGGTGCCGTGAACAAACAATCAATTACTACTGTTAGCCTACTAAAAGCGTACAATTTTGTCTGTGGGCAGTGGAAAGAGAGAGAGAGAAAGAGAGAGAGAGAGAGGAGTAGCGCGAGAACTTCCGGGCAAAACAAAATGGCGACCTGCGTAGTTCGGCTCGATTCGAAAAGTTAAATAGCCGTAGCATCTTTGTACACGACCAAATTAATTTACTTTCGTGTTTTAACATCATTTTTTAACTTTGTTTTGGTCAATTTGATCGTCCACACCGATAGACAGTATTCAGAAAGAGACAGAAGAGGGGAGGAGTAGATCTTGCGAGAACTTCCAGGCAAAACAAAATGGCGACCCCCGTAGTTCGGCTCCATTCGAAAAGTGAAATAGCCAATAGCATCTTTGTAGTCGATAAAATTAGCTTACTTTAGCGCTATAACGTAATCTTTTCTTTGCCTCTATCCATTTGATCATCCATATCAATAGAAAGTATCCCGAAATTAGGAAAAACAGGTCTTGTTTCACACCGGGTGAGAATGGTAGTGTCAATTGCCACCGAGTGACGCAGTGGCAATAGACAAAAATTGACTTTTTGTCAATTGTCACCGAGTAAATTGGAGCTCTTTTGCATTGGTGGGTAGATCAAGCTTATTGTGCTCGAGTGCTCGGTGTTGTGCGTTCGCCTCTCTGTCCCTCTGTGTGTGTGTGTGTGTGTCTTTTCTTGACCCCCGTCTCTCGATTTATGTTCCCCGATATACGTGAATTTCTGCTTGAGTTTGTGTGCGTTTGTGACCTTCTACTTCTAGAATTGCCTGTGTTGGTTCTACATCAAAGTGTAGGCTAAGGTTAGGCCTACGTCTCATTGAAAACACGCCAAGTTGGTACCGTAGCTTTAGACTAGATGCTCGTCAAATGAAATTATTGAGAACAAATTGACCCATTAGTAGACACACATTATAATAGATCTATGTACAATGCTAAAGATAGTGTTGTTTTCAGACTTGACACCGCGTCACTCGGTGGCAATTGACGCTACCGTTGAGAATAGCCTACGGTGGCAAGTCTCACCCGGGGTGAGAGGTCGATCGTATTTCTGAATAGCCACTTCTAATAATAATAATAATACTTGTTGGCCACCCTGAGCCTGAGCAATCCACTCTGGGTTGGGACCAGGTTTCAACTTCAATTAAATTACCAAAATCTCTAGATCTAGTAATTGGGCAGGAATTTCTATATTCCATTTCCCAACTGTATTCTTGAAACTTCTCTCTTCAGAATGAAAGTAGCCATAAATGGATCGCAACCAGCTCTGTCAGTACAGTAGGCTACAGTAAAAGTAAAAGTAAGTGCAGAGGTCACCAGTCATTATGGAACTGGACTTCACTTAGTTTGGTTGGTCGGCTTATAAACACTTTATTTACCTCATGGCATATGCAGTTCTTTGACAGAAGCGTTCTCAGAATCCTTTCCCCTTGACGAGTGGGAAAAACAAACCGGTGCGCCATCGTGACTCTGCAAAGCGTGATAACACTACTGATGCAACAGTCAATAGCAGTGAGCAAGAAACGGTACTAAGAGTGGTGAGGCACACACTGTTTTCACCATTACGAAAACAATATACAATAATTAGTTTCGACTTTTATTTTTTTGTAAATATAATTTTTCCTTAATTTGGGATTGTAAAAATGTTGAAAGACCAGGATAGTTTTCAGAATTATGAATTATTTTTTTTACGAAAACAACATTGAGATCAACCTTACTTAAAGGGAGCTCCACAAAACGGACAAATATGTAACTGTCTCTCTGTTATTAGCTTCTATTTTCAGGAATCTTACTATTACGTCAGCCTACCCAAATGTTCATATTTTTATGATAACACGTGTCATTTTTTTCCATAAAGATTACAAAGGCAGTAAAAAGTAGGTTATTTGTTATATTTTGTAAAACACACGATATGTTATATTCAGCACTTATTGAGCAGTATGTGCATTTTTATTGAACTAATTAAATTTTTTTTTTTTTTAGGGGGGGGGGGTGAGCTCATATTGTTGCATTACAAAATGTATTGCAGCACAAAATGAATACAGCTGGATTTCGGATTGTATTTATAGAATCTAACGTTATTTTGCCTACTAGAGCATTCTTTTCAGGATTCATGATTTTACTTTTGCTGTAAAAGGAGAGAAGAAAGACAACTTTATCAAATCTGATTCATCATCATCAAGTGCCATTTGTCACTATGCACCATCGTGTTTTGACCAGATCAATTAAAATCCAGTCAGTCTCCTGGTTTATCTATTGTGTCAAGTAAAATTTATATTTTCTTAAAACAGCGGCATCTTAAGCGAATCGGGATCGTAAGCAGTGGGCCATTATGCGAAGACTACAACAATATTTTCTTACCACTGCTACTTGCAAAAATACAAAGTATTTTTGTACCATTCATAGAGCTTTGCTGTTGAACAGGAATCTGCCCTATACAATTAATGCCATGCTATTATTGGGCTATTCATCATTATTCATTTTCATTTCAGAAAAATGTTCATGATTATTCCTTTTTAAAACCTGTCACTCTTGCAATTAAGCTGATAGACATACTTTGAAATAGAACATGGTTTGTATCTTATTAATGTATGATTGTGTTTCATTCATTGTTAAATAGTGTTTCAATGTGATAAAAATACTATAAAGGGCAACCCAAATAGGTTTGAAAACGCGTCTTTTATAAAAATCAGTAATTATTTAAAACTGAGCTTTCTGAAAACTATGCTTTTCACACTTAATTGAAGTTAGAGGTATCATACATATTATGTCGGATGATTTTAATGAGACAGCCAGGTGGAAGACCCAACAAACGCCGAGTTGCTAAAGAAGTGTTTGTATCTGAGTCTTGCATTCAGCCATCAAATTTGGACAAGAGCACAATTTCAGTTCTTTCAGAATTATGTGCGCTAACTTTATAAGACATTCTCTTCATCTCTTGACTGAAATTTGCAGTCTTGCTGAAACTGAAATAAGGTCTTGCTGCATTTGCAACCATTGCCATCACTAAAAATGTGGCGTTTGTTCGAATATTGAGAGTGGAGGTGCAACGCTTCAGGATTTCCTTGATGATTTATTATTTTCATCTTTCTCTTTTTTTTTGTACCTCCTACACAACGAGCTCGTTTTATACAACCAAAATAGAAAACACAATAATATTATGTATTTTGCAAGTAAATTGTAATGTGTAAACACTAAGTTGTACGGAGCTACTCCAATATAATTCCCTCTTGCCAGCCTCCTGGACTTGGTCTGGTCACTGATACTGGTCACTGATCTTCCCCAACTTCCGACTGCTTACTTCTTACTTGTCTGGCGGTTGGCGGTATTGATTCGTTTTGGTTTGGTAAGTAGTGAGTAGATTTGGACTAGATTTAGATCTAGTACACTTCTCTATTGAGAGACTAAACTATCTAAATTTACCCCCCCCCCAAAAAAAAAAACCCCGAAGAAAACAAATTACAATCTCTAATAAATAAGGCCACCTCTATTCAATTCTCACCCGGGGTGAGAATAGTGCAGGCGAGTCTTTTGGCTATTCTCACCCGGTGCGCGTTCACCGTTATACTATACTATAGCCTAGATCTAGATCTAGGCCAACAAATTTTGCGTTCACCCTAAACCACAGAATTCTACACTGTGATAACAGAAAAATTGGAGAATTCTGTGCTGTGAACAAACGTTCCATTACAACTGTAGTCTTACTTGTAGCCTACTAAACTAAAAGTAATAGAGAGATTTCAGTTATTTTATAGTTATGGGGGAAATATGGAGGGGTGTGGGGGGTCATCATGCCCCCTTGAATTTTACCAGAATTTGATGTTTTGCCTTTGCAGTTAGGTTGCATCCGTTATTTTCTTTGTGTTTTGGTCATCAAGACTTCTGGATTTCTTCTCTGGATGTAAACAAATGGATCGTGGACTTTAACGAACAGAACAATAATCACCGGCACCCACCAGTACTCTGTTGTGTGGATGACACTGTCAAGCGCCATTTGGATGATTTGCCGATCAGCGTGATCTTAAGATGGCTTAGATGGCGCAGAACCATATGACAATCCGCAGAAAGTGCGGCCATCTCTAGATGGGCGCGATGCGCCATCACACACAAACAAACGATTTTGCAAAGTTCACACAAAACTCAGCAGAATTTATTATCATTAATTTCAAAAATTTCAAAGACCAATATGCAGTCAAAATATTAGACAAGTGACACTTGCGTCCTACTGATTCTTTTTTGTTTTAAATATATTTTAAAATTAATCATAAGTAAATTCTGAGGGTTTTATTTGTGAACTTTGCAAAATCATTTGTACGTGTGTTAGTTGTTTACATGACGGCCATTATTTATTGGAAGTGGCTATTCTCACCCGGGGTGAGAATAGAAATACGATCGACCTCTCACCCTGGGTGAGACTTGCCACCGTAGGCTATTCTCACCCGGTTTGAAACAAGACCTGTTTTTCATAATTTCGGAATACTTTCTATCGATGTGGATGGTCAAATGGATAAAGGCAAAGAAAAGATTACGTTATACTTTATACTAGTTATAGCACAAAAGTAAACTAATTTTATCGACTACAAAGATGCTACGGCTATTTCACTTTCTGAATCGAGCTGAACTACGCGGGTCGCCATTTTGTGACACCACTGATCTAGAAAAAAACAAACACGGGATTTGACCACGTTTTAAGTTTTGCAATTAGATCTAGATCTAGATCTAGGTTTGATAGGCTATCTCCTCCTTATCGGCACGCACATCAAAAAGTAATCGTTTAGAACCAGAAGTAGTAATCGTCGGTGGGGTCAAAACTAGATTCTAGATCTAGATTTTCTCTGGGTTATTTCCCTGTCACAAAAGTCGGGACCACCATATCCAAGGAGTGCCTTTTATCTTATATTTTCATGCATTTCGGACTTAAAAATCTAGTAAGTGATACAGCTCCGGGTCCAGATGATACACAATTAGATCATCAGACACCTAGAGGCCTACCCACCCACAGAAACAATCATCCATCCTTCTTTACACTTTCCCAGACTCCTGGCGACTTGCCACTGAAATGTCATTCCTATTACAAAACTAGGCAAGGACCATACACTACATACAAACCCATCCAATTAAAGACCACGTGACAATTGCCTAAACCAGCTTTCTATGTAGATTTGTAATAAAAATTATTGACATCTAAGGTTTATTTGGATTCTTGAGATGACAGGCTCACTGGATGGTCCCCAGCAAGGGTTCAGGGAAACTCAATCCAATCCTCTCTAGATCATCTGGTCTGCCTGTTGACTAAAAAAATATACCCGAGACCTATGTCGAAGGTGGCCAGATAATAGCCATGTTTTTCTATCTAGAATTAGAAAAACTTTCAGCGCAACCTGGAAGTTTATGGTATTCGCAACCTGGAAGTTTATGGTATTCTTCATAGCTCTCTGTCTACTATGCAGTCATGTCCATGCCTTCAATGGCAACTTTTTGCAGAGAGTATAGTTTAATATGTTCTAAATTCAAATTAAGTTCATTCTTTTTTTGTTTTACCCTTTTTGTGATAGATTTTGCTGTGGGGAAAAAAGTTCCTAGACAGCCACAAGATGCAAAGTGACTTGTTTTTGCTCAGAATAATTGGGATGCATGCAAATGAGCTAGAATTAACTTTTAATGTTTAGAACTGTAAGTCTGAACTTTTATCAGATTATGTTTTCTTTGCCGTGTTATTACAGAACAGTTACTGTTTTTGACAAACTCAAATATTTTCTCTATATTTCAGGAGTTACTGGTGGTCATCATCAGGTGCAGCAGGGCTTTCACTAAAGGATGACATGAACATTTATGGGAAATCATGCTATTGCTATCCAATCGTGACTTTCAGACTGGAGATCATGACTCTGTCCTCAATGTGATATCACTGTCACCCAATGATGATCTCAATAGTTTTGTTGGTGAGTTCGTGTTTGTTCTCCTTTCTCCCCCACCCCCAAGTATGCTTGAAACACAAAAATGGTAACTATAGTACTGCTTTAAAGTATAGGATGATAGGGAGTAGGTCAAAGTTTATTACTCAGCCAAGTAAATAGTGCATGGCAAGGAAAATTTCTCGATCCCTTCGGGAGAGCTGTCAGTACCATGTGTTTCATAATTTAACAGCTTCCTTTAACTAAATGTAAAAAAGTAAGACAAAGGAATTAGTTTTAAGTTTTTTTAAAAACTGATTGCTACCACTATTCATGTAAGATGAAGAAGTTTGTGTTGAGTTTACAAATAATTACAAATTTAAGATTACAAATGTTTTATTAAATGTGTATTTGTAATTTAAAAAACCTAGCAGTGTCACAACACAGTGGAATCAGGCACTCGTCAATTTTGGGGTATATGGAGTGATTGGTATCATCTTATAGTTTGCTCAATAACTGAAGTCGAGATATTTGCAATTGAAGAAGGTGGGGGGGGGGGGGGGTGGGGGGGTCCACCTGGTTTCAAAAGTAAAACTAGCGAGAAAATGGCTGCCTAAGTTTGGTGGCTTCCGTAGCTCACGAGTCCTTGGAAACTGCAAGTTTACATTTTTCGTGCCTTTAATCAACGTTTTCCATAAAACCCGCGCATAAAAATGTTTTTGAATGGACATGTTGTTGTTGTTGTTTTCATATCCCTTTAGCTGCGAGCATTTCGCTCTTGGCAGCGCAATGCCTCCCTCTTGAATGGACATAAAAGTTGTTAAGCCAGAATACTAAAAAAATTTTTTAAAATCAAACTGGCAGAAAAATAGCAGAGTGCGATTTAATTATTTTGACAAGCGCCTGATTTCACCTCGATGACTCACATTTGACTGTAGAAGTGCCAAAGCCAGGAGTAAGGCAAACATTAGGTTGACAAGGTGTCAGAAAATTCCTGCCCTTTTGTGTTGTGGGGGACAGCCAAGACCATTGAGATAATTTTTTTTTTAAAAGATAATTGTTTTAAAATTGAAACAATTAACTACAGTGGATGTGTAGAATGATGTGTTGTGGTGCTCAATCAAGATCAAAGGCTTGTGATGTATTCTCTAGGTCCAAAGATTTATTTTGTTACATGCAGTAATAACCACCCCCTCTTCCCTTCTTCTTTTCTAACTCGACACATAGACTACTTATAGTATCCAGGATAACAACATTCCCTTTAGCTATTTTGATTTTGCAGGATGAAGTGAACTTTGCGTACACATTTATTCTGTTGGTAGCTGTGGCAGCACCTGGTTATTTTTTGTGAGTGTTGATATTCTTGGCTCAAGCCCCCACACCCCAACTACCAATTTGCTGTCTGCCATTCATTGATCATGCAACCATACTAAAATACTGAAAACTTTATACAGTGATTAGTTGCAGATATATATATATATATGCCATTTCATGTCTCCTTTACCTGAAATACTTCTTACAAGTGATATTTTGTATTTGCAGAAATCTGGTACCAAGTCTTTCTGTGGGCTCTGTTCTCGTCGCTGTTTGTACACATTGTTGGTTCCCTGATTGCATTTTGTCGGCTCCGCAAACACCGCATCGGACGCTGGATTCCATTGGTCATTTTGGGCATGGGTGTGATTTCACCATTGACTGGTGGAGTTGTTACCAGTGAGTTATGAAAGACAAAGTGTACTATGACAGTAGATTTAACTTTATTAGACTAAATGGTATCACCTTGGTTCTAATAGGTTTTTCAAGAATACAATCAAATTCACTCTCCCTTGTGGAGAATCCTATTTGAGATATGTATACCCAAGTCTTTAAGAATTTAAGTAAGTACAGCCCTGAAAATGGCAGTGACCAGATCCGTCCAGACGTATCAAGTACACAACTTTAAAAAATGAAATCAGAGCTCTCTGATTGTTTGCTTTTTTTAACCTGTCAAAGTCTGTCCCCGGGGTTTTATGCTCCCCATATAATTTATCTAAATTTTATCATTTTTTGCTTAATTTCTGATTATTTTCCTTTATCATTCTTTGTTAAAATTAACAGAATCGCATAATTTCACATTTTTGGGCTCAGCTCGCATAATTTTAGAATTTTGTTTTTGCATAAAACCGCGGGGACAGCAAAGTACACCTAACTGATCTACATAAAATGGGGGGGTGGGGTGGGGGTGTCTCTCTCTTAAATTTCATTTCTGCCAGGTCATATGCGACTTATTGTGAATGGCACGAAAATAATTTTATTTACAATATTTGCACAGTTTATGGTAAATATGAAAATACTTGTTTTTAATGTGTAATGTTGCAATATAAATTTATTTGTCACAGTAGGGTTGTTGGGTAATCTTGAGCTTGTGAGGTTCTGGGTTCTGGAGGCTCCTTTTTTTCCTTCTCCAAACTTTTATTGGAAAGGGGGGGGGGGGGACTCCTTATTTTTGGTCATGGGGTGATTGGCAGGTATGTTCATCACGAGTTTGGTAGAATCATTACAATTGTTATTCAATTTTACGGAAATACGATCGTTTTACTCTAGATTCTGAATTTTTTAAAAATTGCTGTAAAGCTTTGTCTGCAAACATTTTTTAAAAAGATTTTTGAAAATGTTGCAATAGACACAGTAGGCCTACCATTACAAGAAAAATGGCTTTCAAACTTGGGGGAAATATATTATTTTGTATGCATTTCATCTGGATTTTTTTCATAGTCGTGCCTGTCAAAAGTATGAGGCATTCTCTAAGAAAGTTTGAACTGCTCAACTGCTCCTTTAAAATGATTTTCTTATGTTAACATTGCAGGTGCTGCTATTGCTGGTGTGTACAGAGCCTGTGACATTGTGATGATGCCTTTCTATGCCCTGGTCTGGGGAGTGGGACAGACTTTTGGTGTGTTACTTATCTCCTTTACCAGAATAGTGGCTACGTTATGATGCTGAAATCCTAGTTGAGACCAGATTGCAGAAAGATGCCAGTCGCCCCCGGCTGAGACAATAGTCTGTGCTTCAGATGAAAGTCAGTATACTTCTTGGCAGGTATGTTTGGGTGGCTTTGTCTTTCTTTCCACCATGAAGAATACGTCTTCACTCAGGAAGCCATATGTCATGTTTCTCGTGGGGAAATAGACAAAACTACATGCTGGGTCAAACACTAACCCTGTCAACGATGGACAGAAGCCACTGCCGGGTGGCAAAGATTCGTGATGAGAGAAGGTGGAAAGGCAACATGTGTACAGCCAACAACAGACTTCAAATTGCTGTCGCCTAATGTCTCAAATAATTGTATCCTTCAAGCTGCTCATGGTTACTTGCTTTGAATGCCATATTATAGACTTGACTAATTCACACTGTTTACAGCAATATGGTTTTCTTTGTTTATTGGGGGGGGGGGGGGGGTTTACATTCTCATTTTTCATTGAAGCTATATTTTTTTTGTCTGAGGTGATTAGAGAAATTGAAGGTGTTAATTCTAAACATGACAGTTCATGTTTAGGGTTGTATTGTTGGGATTTGAAGAGATAAGAACATGTTCACAGTGAAATCTCAGTGGAACATACCCACATACATTTGGAGCAGAAATTATGTCTGCTGAAGCAAATGCATTTGCAGGGTTGGTATTCATGAGAAGTTATTTTGGGGCTTGGTGCTTTAAAAAATATACTTTGTCACTCAGTATGCACCATATCTCTGCCCTTACCCCCTACGTTTTTAGGTATGTTAATGAGCATCAGGTGGTAATGATATTCTGTGTAAGTGAAAATGAATCTCTCTGAGAAAGCAGTGTAAAAAGGCAATCCTCTTCTCTCTCTGTTTTATATGGAAAAGACTGAAAGCATTTATAATTGTTACTTTTTCTGCATCATGCCTCGGTATTATTGGTTTTTGAGGCATCTTTTTGGTACAGCTCTCTGTTGTTAGTTTTTTCAAACAAGTAGGCCTATATTTGTGATTGGCATGACTGTTCACTGAAGACTGAAAATATTTATTTGTGTCATATTGTCGATGATATCTCTGGCTGTAGCACCAAAGACAAGGTACCTGTCAAGACGTATATATGCATAGAGTGTATGAAAGCAAAGTAGTTCTTCTGAGATATGGGCTTTTTTTTTAAAGTGTGAGGTATGTGGTAATGCGTTGTAGGACACCAGTGTGTCTACACTTATACTTTTGCTGTACGCATGTATCTGTACAAAACTTGATGAGTACTTGGGGAAAAATTGTTTAAAGTAGGTTGCAGTTTGAGAGTAAATGTTTTGGGTGATTTAAAAAAAAAATTTTTTAAATGAAAAGTTGCATTTTTTAGAACTATTTTTCTTCCTTGCCTTCCTCATGTAGGTCTACAAAAATGCACAAGAGAATAGTGATGATGTTGTATTTGAAGAGTATTTGTTAGCAGTTTTCATTTGCATTGTCCTGATGCCATATTATTATTCCAATGGTGGACTTACATTTGCAGAAATGGTAATCTCTGTACAATTTCACCTTTTTAAAAATTTAATTGGTTTTGATAGTGTACAAATTGTAAATATAGATGAGTGGAATCTGTTTGTTTTTTTGGCTAGAGGGAGTAGGGAGGTGTAGGCCAGAACTTTTCAGCGTTTGTTCTTGTTATAGAGGGTTAACACCTGAAGTGTCGGATGGACAACAAATAATGACTAACTGGTAAAATGCACACAAAATGTCTATACATTACTGCATTGTGTTCATACCAGACCACCGTTGATGGCTGAATTGATTTGTCGCCTGTCTGTTATTTCTGTTTTGATGGGGCGGTAAAATTCCTCCGTCAACAATTGCGTAATACGTAGATTTCACACACAATCTTGTCTGAAATCTACTCTCTACATAGCCGTCAATATGCATGTAATATTCAAGTCATTGCTTGCTTCCAGCATGGATACAGCTGCGTGCTAGGTTTGATCATTATTGTGTTTACAAGGCTAGGGATTTATGAAAAAAACAACTAACAAACTGTATGCAATTTAACAGTATGCTTCTGAGGCTTGGAAAGACATGGCGAAAAAACCCATATTGAAGGAAATGATTTCTGTCTACTCCTGCTCTACCCTTCTCCATTAAACAAAAAAAAAAAGCCTTGTTCGAATTGTTTGCAACTCTGGGCATTGCGACAGATGGCATTGTTTCAGTTGCTCTATTCGCTACTGACTGTGAGCCTCAGACCACACTCTATTCGAGTTGAATCTGTACAAATAATCAAGGAAATCTTTTTCTTAGTAAGAGTTTTATGGTGCTAGCAGCAATTTAATGCTCCAGATAAAGAAAATGACATAATTTATAACTTTTCATGAGAACCCCCCCCCCCCCCCCCCCCAAATAAAAATTTTGATGCAAATATAAAAGGAAAAAATATTTTTTAGAGAACCAGACCTTCTGATCTCCTTTCCCTGGGGTATAAAGCTCATCATACACTGTTTTGAAATTCTCCTCTCTTTGCTTACTCATTTTTTTACCGTCGCGTGGAGTCACGCTGACCTGCGGGATCACCACTTGCGACCTAACTGCTTGTCCGTTTCGCAGCGCACTTCAGTTGTGGGTGGCAGTATATTTTCAGCCTTATAGCCCACACTTAAGTACAGACTTTGGGTAAAATCCGGGCAGGAAGCAGATCCAAAGTTGAATTCTTCTACTCCAACAGAAATGGCATCCTCAAGTTGCAGCCGTGTTGCAAAAATGTGTTTTGGGCATCAAGCCCAGATGACAGAATGTACACTTTCATCAGCATTTTGTGTTTTTGGAGGACACTGTAAAAGGAATAAATTGGAAAACAAAAAAGACAAAGAGGTGTGTCAGATCCTACTTTCAATGATCGTCATGCCCCACTAGCCCGTGACATGCAAAGCAGCTGGGGCAACATATCAAACTTTGACTCCAAATCCACACTTGTGGCAAGGAGCGTGGCACACCGTACTTTCAAGTCACAGTTGACGCAGAAGTTTTTTGGATAGAGAAAAAACCTGTTCCTGGGAGGAAGCATCTTTCTCACCGGTAATGAGGTTGGAGCGAGAGGGGCAAATGACGGAGACGAGTTGGTGAGCAATATATCCTCCTCTATAAACTACTATGTTCTACTCTGCCAGGGTGAGTGTTGGGACTAGAGGAGACAAAACAAGATTTCTAATCAGAGGTGGTACATGTTCGTCATGGCGCTTGGGTCGGACAGTGGTACTTGCACGTATGTTTTCTAATATGAACAAGAACCTGTCAAGATCCTATTTGCAGTTTTTTGCATTCACTTGAAACCATAAATCACTCCACCATGGTTTGACACAAAACTACAAAACTCAGAGGGTTCTGGGTTGAATCTGTGACCTTCCTTATCTCTTTACAACTGAAAAGTTCTCGAGGCAGTCTTGGTTAAGCCTACCTCTCCCACCGATCCACGCATGGCAGACTGCCACTGATGTTGATGCACCTAATTCTTTTAAACCATTTGAGCTTCTTTTGCAGGAAAACCATATGACAGTGTGATAGCATAGCCAATGGCATTCTTGCTTTTTAAATGGCAACTATTGAAACCTTGAAAATTTGATCGAAATTCTCAATGTAGATGGCTGTGGGCATTGCCTCTGCAGGCATTGCACCAAGTGTTACCACAGTAGTGACTCCTGCACCTACTGTGTGGCTGAGGAGGGCCATTCTGATTGGAAGTACTGAATCGTGTTGGTAGAATTTTACAAAGTAGTCTCACAAAACAGGCTGCTAAAAGGCCATGGATTTTCAAATTATTCCTGATGTTTTTCTATAGGTGAGGGGGATCGAACATCACAAAAACTTTGTGATCGTCAAAGGTGAAAAAAGGATGGCTTTCTGTGACCCCAAGACGAGTGAAGAGGAGCGACCGGTTGTTGCTCCCTTGATCACGGATGATGACCCTTGGTCTAAGTCTAAGACCTGGGGCAAAAAGGTTTCTTATGGCGTGCTGGAAGAAGGATTCCAGCATAAAAGCTTTTATTGGACCATTTGACAGTACATAAGAAAATGGTTGTTTCCACTTATCTGTCTTTCCTGTGACCATGAACATGAGAGCGTGAGTTGCCATAACTTTTGATCTCCCAAGAAGGCCAAAGTCTTCAAACCCTTCCACCTCATCATCTTGAGGATTGTTTTAAAAAAAGAATAGAAGTGCCAGAATCATAATGTTTGTACACATGATGGCCATTTAAACGTTAAAATCGCAATCGTCCAAAATGTGTTATTTTGCTAGTGATGTCTACAAACAAACTCTCTCAGGCCAACGTCCCTGTGTTCAGTAATACTACAGACGGTATGGTACTATCTGACACTCCGAGAGCTCCGGGTCCAATCATCAGAACCTGAGCTATTTGCCTTTTCTTTACACACCTCCTCCTCAAAGCAAATGTGACAAATATTTTCATTTATCTTTGACATCCTTGCTACCTTACCCGTCTTATATATCCACCTTCCTTTCTCTTCGTCTTCTTAGAAGACCACCCTCTTGTGAATGGCACAGCAACACTAATCCTTAAGACTTCACTTAAATTTAATGAAATCTCAGCCCTAGGCTTACGCCCCCTTGTGACAGCCACACCTCTGCTCACACCGTCCTCCGCTGCATCTACACCACTGACTGAAACAGGGGGGGGGGGGGCTCTCGTGGCCTAGAGGTTAAGGTGTTGGCCTCTCATTCAAAGGTCCAAGGTTTGAATCCAGGTAGCGGCCGAAAAAAATTTCTTCTCTAAAATTGTCTCCTTTCACCTTCTTTCCTGCTCTCTAGCAATGTTCTGTCGTCTGCTTTCATCTCCACCTCCTTTGCCCCCTCCTCTGGGCTCCTGGCTCTTTCTGCAGCCTTTCTACTGCTACTCCTTGGCTCCTTCTTACTGCTGTCTTTCAGCCACACCCCTGATGTTCTGGTAGGTAGGAAAGATCTACACCTAGCCTTCTCAGACAAAGGCGAAAAATTTCGGAGGGCCTGTGTGCAAGTTGTGCACGCTAAAGATCCCTTGGTGGTCAAAAGTCGTTAAGAGTAGGCTTCGGCCGCCACTCGGGCAAAATTCAAAATTTCTTACCAACTCAAAAATTTAATGTGTCCCGCTCGCTCATATGGCCTTATGCAGTTGCGAGCGCCGTAAAACACTTACCCCCCACCCCCCAAAAAAAATCCCAAAAATGACTGAGCTCTCCCACTTCCTCAAAAGTTTAAAATGTCTTTCAGTGCTGCAAAACGTCTTTTGTATTGACTACCACCAGATGGCTTCAATACATTTGAGAACATCAACAACAGAGACTCACTTTCATAAATGTCGGACATCCTAGATAAGGCTGATGGGTGATGCTCTCCTTCACCAGTTGTTGGCTAAGATCATTGACCCGAACAATACCATGGTTGTGTAAATGAAACAAAGCAAATGCAATATTTCTTGACGATGTCAATAATTTTCCGAGCGTAGTTCTCAGACTCAACAAAATTATTGGTAAAATGTCCTTCAGTGCTGCAAGACGTCTTTTATATAGACTACCACCAGATGACTTCAATACATTTGAGAGCATCAACGACAGAGCCTCACTTTCATAATGTCTCTGCTCAGCTAGGTTGCAAGCATCTGTGAAGTAACGAGAACGTAACTATTAGCTGCAGAATGAAGAGCTGCATCCACGCCATGCATATGACATGCCATGATATGCAAACATGGCAGTGACATTTGTACAGAAAAAGGGCAATGACATGATGCAACACCATCAGCGTCCACCTTCACATTGAATCGAAATCCACTAGATCTAGGTTCCCTAGCAATGAAGTTGGCATCATCTGGCTGAGCAACAAGAAGCTGCTCAACACCCACATGATTTGCTGTCATGGAGTTGATAGGATGTGAAAAGAACTCGACATAGAACCAAGCAAAATCTTTATGACATCCTAGATAAGGCTGATGATGGGTGATGCTATCCTTCACTAGTTGTTGGCTAAGATCATTGACCCGAACAATGCCATGGTTGTGTAAATGATACAAAGCAGATGCAATATTTCTAGATGAAGTCAAGAATTTTCCGAGCTTACCATTCTCAGACTTAACAAAATTATTTGTATCGTTCAGGAAATTGGTGACATCCAGTCGTTGATGTGCAGCCCGTTCAAGTTCAACTTTACAGTTCTGGAAGGTAATAACTGTAAAACTCGGGACAGGCCACACACGGCTTTTCCTCTTGAAATTCCTGCTGGTCGGTGGTATCTTTCAGCATCATATGGAGATGCGTTACCTTAGACTTGAGGCTACTCTCCAATTTCAATACTTCAGTCTCTTTTCCATGGCTGCATATACACGCCAATGACATAAAAGGTGTCAGGCCCAAGGCAACACAGTCTTGACTGCAGCTGCCTGGCTAGCACACTTGTCAGACATGACACTTGGTCCTAGCCAGGTCATCTCCCACAAATTCAGCGAATGCGTGTAGCAGCTGAGAAAAAAAAAACAAGAAAGAAAAATTTTTTTAACATGCTATTCACCACTCACAAATCTAATATTCTCCTATGGACCCTACAGAGAGTTACATTTTACCATCTTTATTTCACCTTTAACAGGGCCTCCCATTAACATCCCTATTACACTTTCGTAAATATGACAAGGAAATGGATAAAAGTAACAGGATCCTAAATCAAGTCTATTCTATTTGACAGCCTCAAAGAGTAATTCAACAATTTTGCCAACAAAGTGTGCACTAAAATATACATCCTCTGTCCAATCATTCCAAAATTTCTCATGCTTTGCTTAAAACAATAAAAAGAGAAGCACTCCACCCAGTTTTCAAACTATACATCCCTCTACATTGAGGATGACGACTGAACATTCTTTCTGCCCTCCTGTGATAAAATTACGCCTATTGATAATTGACAATCGCCGACGTGTTTACTTTTATTATAAGAGGGCATTGATTACATTAACAGAAAAAAGTCTTAAAACTTTTAATATCACACACCACTCACCGATGTCAATATGAAAGTTGTCTCACAATATTATATGAAGGAATAAAACACAGGCCTTGACCTACCGAGGCAATCCTGGACCATAATTTGGTATAACGGGTAGCCACTGTTGTTCTTTTTGTAAGTGCCTATGGAATAATACAATGAAAGTATTTTTAAAAGGACAAACTTGATAGGGAACCCTGAAATTGTAACATTCTATACAACTCTAAGCTCAAAATAAGTGCAATTTGTGCAATTCTTATTGCACTTTGAATAGGATGCTATCGCAAAGTACTTCTCCTTAGTTTGCGGGAGGTCTCAGGAGATCCAGCTGCCCATTTGCTGCTGGATGGACAGGGGACCGGAAAAAATTAGTCTTTCATGGGACCCGGACCCGGGTT